GAAGCCACCCCCTACTACTACTACAAGCGTGATGCTGAAGCCACCCCCTACTACTACTACAAGCGTGATGCTGAAGCCACCCCCTACTACTACTACAAGCGTGATGCTGAAGCCACCCCTTACTACTACTACAAGCGTGATGCTGAAGCCACCCCATACTACTACTACAAGCGTGATGCCTCTCCCTACTACTACTACTAAGAAATTAGCTCAGTTGTATATAGATGTATATTATGTAGATATATCAAATTTACCCTTTGTTCACCTAGGTGTTGTAAAAAGTTTTTTTTCGTATATGTGGACCTTATGTAAATAATTTCTTATACAACCCTTTGATACCATTTCTTTTAATAAAGAATTTGCCATTCGAATCATGTTGATGGTATTTGTAAGTGAAAATTTATTATTTGGAAAATTGATAAAACCTTTTTCCATTTATCACGAGATTCTGTCAAGTACTATACTATATGAGATGTTGGATTTCTGTTTTTAGCAGTGATGTAATAACGCGTTATGCAGTTGACACGGAACGCGCCACATGAGTTTAAATAAAGGTAATGGGATAATAAAAAGAGGCACCAACAGCTTCTTTATTAGGTGGGCTGTTAAAGGAACTGCATCCATAATTGTAGGGTTAATATGAAATCATCAAGTTTAAATCGCTGTCGTGTAACGTCTAAAGAAGCTATTGATCTGACGCAAATGTTTTTTATTATGATTGTCTCTTGTTGGCATGTGAATCGTTCTTTCTATACATATGAAAAAGTTCTCAAGAGTTACTAAGGTCTTAAAAGTCCCAGCATCATCTCTGCCACGTATTGCGACTTTTATCCACTTTCAACATAATACAGTATCAAACTTACCTTTAATTTTATCTACTATTACACATACAAATAGCAATTGACTTACCAGTAATGAAGATAAATATTTAGAAAATCCATATTTTCACTTGGCTAAATTTTTACTATTTATATGATTATTTTGCCTGAAAAGTAAAAGACAGACAAAATTAAAGTTGCCTGTCGGCTTCTTGTTATCCGAATCAATCTATTTTATAGGAGATAAGATTTTTTTCCATTTAATAATATATGGTATATATAAAAATACGAGAACACTCGAGGTTTATTAAAATAATAATCAATTCGGTTGACGGTTATTGTTATGTTATTATTGAAAAATGTCAATGGTAAAATATTACTTGATTTAATTTATTGTAATAATTAAATTTATTTCAGTAAAATAATCATCGTTATTTATAATAAATTTTTATTTAGCTTGTATAACTTCATACAATTTTCTCAAAAAGCATTTTCATGGCTGTCACTTTCCCTGTGCTGCCTAAACTAAGTTATAAGATGCAAATAAAGTCGCTGTTGCATCGGAATAAGATCTTTGATCAAGAAAACATGTTGAAGTTTTTGGAGTGTTAAATAAAAAACCCCGTCACTTAAGAATATTCCTAAATACAGTACGTGTAAAATACATTCTAACTATAAATATATATATATACTTAATTATACTCGCTACATTAGATAACTTTAAATACTTCATAATCAATACATGAAAAATCCCCATACGGCTTTATAATAAAGTTTTTATGTAAAGAACCATGATAGGCAATCTTTTTATTCGCTTTCATATAAAAAACCCACCCAAAACGTAGGCCATATATATTATGGTCTGTAAATGCCGTATTAAATAAAAATTCAAATTCTTCAAAGTGATCAAAGGAAGAACATTGAACAGCTTTTTCAAATAAAAAAACAAAGCTTTTGCCTCTGTCGCCTTTATCAATGTAATTCTTTATGCCTGTTCCTTTGTTCCATGATAATGCATTATAACCACCAAGAATTTCATCCATCTCAGAAACTTTTATAACCACTACGGTTTTCTCGTGACCATTGCACATGTCCCAAAAAGTCTGCGGCTCAAATCCATCTCTACTTCCTCTTAAAATCAATTGAAATTTACTTGTAATATCTTTCGACGTGAGATTATCACCAATCCAAGACGAGATCTTGGCCAAATGTTCGTTGGTAATGATTGCTGAAAGAGATTCATTCTCGGCCAAATGTTCATTAGTAATGACTGCTGAAGGAGATTCATTCTTGGCCAAATGTTCGGTGGTAATGATTGCTGGAAGAGATTCATTCTCGGCCAAATGTTCGTTAGTAATGATTGCTGAAAGAGATTCGTTCTTGGTCAAATGTTCATTGGTAATGATTGCTGAAAGAGATTCATTCTCTCTTTTTGGCAATTCATTAAATATTTTCGATCTTTTGGGCAAGAT